GTTTGTCCTGTAGTTCTGTTAGTAACTAGTAAAAACTCTGCTTACTTCCGAAGCTCTGTGCTGTCGGCGCCCGGGGATTTTCCATCGCGTACCCCTGCAGGCCGTCACCGAAGCTGTCGGTCGGTGATGACAACCATTTCCGACCTCCCCGAAGACGTCCTGGTGGAGCTGCTTTCGCTGCTCCCAGCCCAGGATCTGATCTGCACCTGCAGGCTGGTCAGCACGCAGTGGCGGTACGTGGTGGATCTGACCACCCTATGGAAACGCAAGTGCCAGCGCGAGGGGTTTTATATTCAGAACTTGGACAGAAGCATCTCTGACTGGAAGATCTTCTATATGCTCTGCAACTTGAAGAGAAACTTAATCAAAAACCCCTGTGCTGAAGGTTTGTTTAATTATTTATGGTAGAGAGCTAAGAGTTTCCTAACAGTCAGAATGAGTCAGTGTCCTGCGTTACTCAAGTACTGCTGGCGGTGTGGGACTGTCCCCAGCTACTGATGGATCTCTGCTGGGTCAGATCCACAAGTAAACATCTGCATTAAAACTGCCGTGGGTAGACAAAGTATTGGTAAATACGTATCTGTGGTTGCGACCAGAGGAGTCACTAAGGCCCCAGCACTGCGCTCGGTGACAGTTAATTTGCACAGCAAGTACAATGTGGTAATGAAACTATCAGGTATTTGGATTAAACATTTGGGCAGCTGGGGAATTTTTGTTGTCAAAGACTTGATTAATACAACTACAGTAATTCTACTTTATTACTGATTATGAGTTTCTGATCTTGCTACCTATTGCCCTAGCTGCTGGCAGCCACACTAAAAGTAACGGCAACATAAAGACAGGAGTCGCTTTCAGCTCTAGGAAAAACATTTGAGTTTTCAGCGTATCTGAAAACTCATCAAAGTAGGTTCCTAGTATTCTTCTGTAGCTGATTCTTTAACAAAAGCAAAGATACTGCTGGAAACTGAAGTGAGGTCCTAACGCTCATCTTTGATATCTGTGTTTTTAGAGAACTTTCAGCACTGGAAACTTGATAATAATGACGGAGATAAGTGGAAGATTGAGGATATGCCTGGACCTCATGGAAAAGAGATGCCAGACCCCAAAGTACACAAATACTTTGTCACTTCGTATGGGTAAGAACTGGATCCAGTAATCTGGAGCTGGGAGACCTGCTTCCTCCTGTCTGTCTGCAAAGGCACTACGGGTAGAAGGCTTGAGGCAGGTCACTGAACCTTACTGCATGTGTGGGAAAAGGAAGGAGCTTAGTTAACCTTTTATACTAGTTAGTCTAAAGAGACAGGTGTACTGCTGAGAGAATTAATTGGGGCATGTGCTAAAAGTATGTTCTGTCCCTACCAGGAATTTCCTGTCACTTTTTTATAGTCATGATAATCCACATGGGATTATCTGCTTCTCTTCTACCAAAGGTGGTGGGCAAAGGTTAAGGTTTCGCAAGCCCATCAGATGCACTTACCTGAGAAGGTCAAAGCTCTGTAACCTCTAAGAGTGGTAGGTGTGTTTGTCATACTAACAGCTTGCAATAAAAGCTGTCAACAGGAGGATTAGCTGCTTTTACATCCATTAAACAGTAGTTCCCTGTTACGAACGTATGCTATACAAGCGCAGGGACCCCTCTTAATCCAGCTTGTAGGTAACTATTTCTTTTATCTGGGAGTGAAGCTAATCGGTTCACTACCTTGGCTAGTTCTGGCTATGGAAAAAGGCATGCCTTAGCCATGTCAGTCTTGCGGGCCTTCAAGGTCTGGGTGGGCTTTTGGCAAGAGTAAAGCTGTCAGGCACAGTGTGGACATTGAGAGGGAAGAGATGTGTTTTGTGAAGTTGTGAACACTTCTATTGCTGTTGCAGGCCATGCTTCAAGTCTCAACTCATTACCCTGCAGAAAGAAGGATACTGGAATCAGTTGATGGATGAGAAACGGCCTGAAATTGTAGTCAAGGATTGGTAAGTGTATGCACGAAAAACTAGAATTTCTGGCATTGGCCTAGACATAAGCTAGGCCTCTCAAGCTTTTCATGCTATAAAATCAGTTCTTTATCCTTTGGGAGTTGCAGCTCTTGAGTAAAGCATAAGCTACATCTAAGTTTATTCAGTGGGCTGTAAGGAGGCGGCAATCCTGTGAAGAGCAGGATAGCTGGAAGTTTTAGAACTTCTTCATAGCTATGGGGATGACATTCCTTTTCCTCTGCAGACGGGTCTCCCTTTGGAGACTGTTTTCAAACACTAAAGAAAACTGAACAGTGTGTGTACAACTTTGCTCCTCGATTACTCCCTGCCTCTCTAGGTATGCTGCCAGATTTGACTGTGGATGTCGCTATGAACTTAGAGTGAGGCTGCTTTCTGAAGACTACATTGTCCTTGACGATTTCCACCCCGAGCCAGTGGTTATAGAACAGTGGAATGATGCGATGTGGAGAGAGGTAAGCAGCAGCAGCCCTGTGGGCAGTAGCTTTACATCGGTATTGTGACACTTGAATCTTGCGAGTCTTACCTGGCCAAAAGTCCCAAGTGGACCTACTTTCTCTGCTCTTCAGTACTCCTCCTACTTACAAAAGGTAAGTCTGTCCTTGCTGTTGACAATGCTGAAGAAGCAGTAGTGCCATGAAAGAGCTAGGTTCAGTTTGTAGGTGCCCAGGGTTTTCTAAAGAGTATCCCCTGGGCTTCTGTGTTATTTTAGCTCAGTCTCTTTAATTGTTTGTTTTTCACTTAAGTTTTTGTCTAAATAACTAAGTTACAAGAGCACAGTTCTTGTTTTTATTGGATCAAAAAGCTTTAAAACTACTGCATGGATGTAATTTAAAGTATTTCTGATGTTACTTTTCTTAAACTGCTAAACGTGTTTAACTGGTTTGACTGGCTGTAGAGTCTCCCATTACGTTGTTGCTTACATGAGAAACGTACCTAAGAATCAAGCTTAATGCTATGTTTGACTTGGAGAGGATTTCGGGGCAGAAGGCTGAATAAGAGGCTTTTTTCCTGTCCCTCAAAAAGGGGTATGATGCACTTTAAATGAAAGATATCTTAGAATGAGCTTTTCCTGAGACCAAGACTTGCATACTGTAGTTGTCCTAGCTTCTAGGTCAGTGCTGGTTTACTTAGGCAAGTTAAGAGGAATTTTCTTCTTTCTCTCCAGATTTCTCACACCTTCCAGAATTACCCAGCTGGAGTTCGTTACATCTGGTTTCAGCATGGGGGCCAAGACACCCAATTCTGGGCAGGATGGTATGGGATCCGAGTGACGAACAGCAGCATCACCATTGGGCCTCTGACATTGTTATGAAGGCACAATAGAAGTGTTTGCTTTTACCTCAGGACTGTAACCAGGTGGTCTCACGTGCACTCAGCCCCCCTCAAGGGCTCTGCTACAGAAAGACTTGCTTTGTATGGTATTTTCCTGTTAATGTTTTTACACATAATTAAACTGAATCTTTCACACCAGACCTTTCATAGCATAAGGAAACTGTCAACCCTTTTTCATAAATGCTGTGTCACTGGTACTTAATTTTTTAGTATTTCTGTAAGTGTATGTGATCAAAATGGTACATACCTTCCCTGTCCAAATACAGCCCATCATTGTCTGAATAAACAGCTAGAGAAACAGGAGATGAGGAATCCCTTAAGGTGGCTACCTTACATCGTAAGTGCCTTTTGATTGTGCTGGGCTTTTTCCATACTACCTTTGTACTACCAAAGTACTTGGTTTGTACTGAACAGTCTAACCCTATATAAAATGTTAAAGCAGCGCACAACCTGGATCTATAGCATTCTTGCACTTTTACTTGGAGGAAGCAGGGAGGTACTATACTGGCTGTCCTATCGAATTGTCTGACCAACAAGCTCAGCTCATACTATGAACCGTGTCTTCTACCCCCGTATGCACAGAGGCAATACTAAGGCCACCTTCCATCTCCTTTGACAGGTGTAGGATTAACAGTGTTTCCCTTGTCTGCTCTCTGTTAAGAGTAGGACATCTGGCAAGTGTCCTTGCTGGACAGACAAATTCCACCTTGCTTAATGCCATGCCAATGCTGAAAGCTCTCCCATGGAAAGGGTAGAGACCAAGGTTGTATAGCCTCTCACAGGAATTGACAGATCCCACATGTTCCAGAAAAGGTGTGGAAAGGTGGTGGAAGCTCCACATAAAATACAAAGCTCCATACAAAATAAAAATACTTCCTCACTTAAGGGGGGAGGCTGGTTTGGACAGAACTCAGCCTACTTCAACTGCGGTAAAACTTAATATTTATTGAAGACTACTTGGGACAGTCACAGTGGACAGACACTACATAAGGCCTCACTCACCCTTCGTGTATAAGTCCATTGCTCTAGTGGAGCATATAACAGATCGCTGTGTATCACTGCCGATGTGCAATGGCGATGCCCTGTTAAGGTGAGAAGTGGATTTGTACAAAGCGCTGACTGCATACTGCAGTTGGCTGTATCCTGCCCCCAGGGATTCACTGTAACAAAACCTATACTCACTCGCTCACGAGTGTACATGGGAACAGGCTCTGGCTCCACATTCCAAGTCAGTTCTATATACAGTGGTAAGAGCACTTGAAATAAAGAGGCAGCAGCTGCTCTACATTCACCCAGAAGGCCAGCTGAAGAGATGGTTATCAAGGTATGGTTTGTGAGATATCTTATTCCACTGGAAGATCAGATGAGGCTTGAAGGCAAGGAAGATCTGAAATCAGGTGCCTTTGTGGGCTCGTTCTTCTACATACAGCTGCATCTGGAGGAGAGAAACAAGCATCAGTTCTGTTTGATGTGCAGGTAGGTGAATGGGAAAAAAGTCTGCAACAGGCTAAATAGGAAGAGTTTGTACCTTCCCTCATAACCAGGTTTCCTATTTTATTATGAGGAGTCTTGCCCTGTTCTCATTACTGGCACAGGCATCTGCAAGACTAAGCAATAATAGTGCTCAGCAGTATTGGAACTGTTGCCCTACAGAAAACTGCAGAGCTAGCATCGGAGTAGACAAAGCTTAAAGTACATGCAGTTTCAGCCACCTCTTGGGCCAGAATGCTCTGCTCACCTTTAAGATATCAGATGTCATAGTTTTCAGGGGAATAAGCCGGGGGTCATGCATGTGCACGTCTTGTTCATCAGCAAGGATCCACGGGAAATCCTAGGGGCAGCAACACAGGTGCTTTATTTGCAGGGAGGCTGGCAGACCCTGTAAGGTGAGCTCTCTTTCTCAGCACTAGGTCAGCATTAAGTGAATGAGAGATCTAGTGGCTGAGGGAAGAAACAGGTAACTCAAACTTTTCGTAACAGCAAAACTTAACACTTGCACACTTGGCTCTCAGACTTGGCATAATTACCTTCAATTACAGCATCAAACTATAAGGTTAACCCATTTTACTTACTCGAAAGGTGACATCTTGTTTCTTTAAAAGATATACTCTTAGCTGTCCTGAGCTAGCATATTATATTCGTTACACCAACATTGTACTGCAACTTCAAAATGCTCAGGGCATGGATTTCTGTCCTGCCTTGGAAGTTTGGCCTACTATACTACCCCTTTCCATTACTAAGCAGTACAGAGCAGACTTCCATTTTGAAACAATTTTATACTTCATTAGCTTTATTTATATTGTGCCTTAGGACACCCAAAATAACTTGGCTCAGAGAAAAAAGTTCCCCTGTACCTAAGCAAGGATTCTTAAAAAAAAAAAAATCTTGCTTTAAAAAGTGATCTGCACACACTTTCCTGCAAGATAAAACGTATTTGTGCACCCAAAACCCACTAGTTACTTGAATCTTAGTCTTCCTTGCTATTTACAAAGAATCGGTCATCCACACATAGTGGATGTGGGATGGGGGGGGGTTACTTAAATTTAAGTACCTATTCTATTATACCTGACTATTCTATATGTCAGAGTACTTCTAAGTGACTGAGCAGGCATTATGCAGTAAGTTGTTACAATCTAATTCAGGCACTGAAGCAGCTATGGTCTGCAATTGTGGCTGGTGTGCGGTGAATGTGCTTAGTCACCTCACCAGTGTAAACCACAACTTTGCTTTGAATGTGTTAAAATGAAGTGTATCATGTAAAGCTAACATTATCTAGCAGCCTTAACCTTAAAGATGCCAAAACTCTTTCATTTCCAGTCTTTGCAGGTTGCTCACACACAATCAGGTAGCCAAAGATATCGCTCACCTTTATCACCTGGATCTTTTCCATGTTCCGTGTGGCAGCCTCCCGTGTGTGAACCAGAACTGTGAAGGTGCAACCTGCAAGAGAAATGGGAGGCTCCGGATCAGGGGACAACTAACAGAGGATCAGGCACTACCTATCGTTGTCTCAAGTCAAGCAATGCCATGCTATCAGGCTGTATGGACATGTTTACCTGGGGGATTGTTGTCAAGCACAGCATCGCACACGCTGATCTTCAGGATGAAGGCACGCAGTAACTGCTCCACATGGGACAGCAGGGACTCTGAACTGTTGAGGAGACAGTTGTTACTGGCATGCAGCAAAGTACTGGAGCCTGGAGCTGCTTCCAGAACACCTCTGCAGAGGCAGGTGTTGGATGCCATGGGCAAGCAGTAATGGAAACGTTACCTAATGGAAAGAAGAGGTGGCTGGGTGATCTCAAAGACAAATCTCTCCACAGGGTGGTGCTCTTTATCCAGGATTACAACTACAACTTTCTCCACATCATTCTGCAAGAACAAAGATAGAAAAATCCCTTCCTTAAAACAAGCTGTCTTCTGCTCCCAGTGTGCTTCACATGCTTCTGATAAAGTGGGAGTACGCTTATTTGTTGTGGCTCTCAGCACTAGCAGTTATCCAAAGCTTGAGCACTGTCAGATTATTATTACCAATCAGAAAAAAATGCTTTTGCAAAGCCCTTTCTTGCTAGATGTTTAACTGATAGCTCATCGCTAAGGCCTAGGGAGATGAAGTGCACTAAATAGCACATTTGTCTAGATACTGTTTTGGAACAAAGGAGGAAATGTACAGCTATCTCACTGCATCACTTGGGAATGGACAATGATGAGGAAGTTAAGACATGCTTAGACTGTTGGACAAATACAGCAGCTTTGTACTACCACAATGTAAAAATGACCTATTTCCTTTCTCTGAATGTGCGTTAGGTTGTCTGTAAAGAGCAGAGAATGCAAAATCTGGCAGCATCCTACATCCTGAAATGTTTCATACAGTCACACCTTTCTCTGACAAAACCTCAAGTTCAAACCTACCTTTGCTTGCTGGGTTTCAGCAAAGCATTCAAACTATTCTGCCAGCTAGGTGCTTAAACTTAAATGTATTCAAAAGTAGAAAGTTAATGTGTAGGATGATGTAACTGAAAATATAGAGCTGTATATCCTCATTTGCATGTATTAGATGCAACTACATGCCAATGATTAGCAGCAAGGCTGGGCCTTAACTGCAAGGAAAGGTTATGGATGTTATTTTTATTTTTGTTAGTAACTTTATCAGCTAGCATATTGTGTATGGTAAACTTATAAATAAATTTTACAATGAAGACAGTATTTATGTTCTCTTATTTTCTATCAAAACCGCTTGCAGTACTTTTGGCCAGGTTCCCAATATGATCTTACCTTCTCGAGCAGGGGCTTTACACAGTGCAGCGTGTCCTGGATGTACTGATTCAGCTCCGGGTGGCAGGACATCTGTAGCAAATACAGTGAATAGTCAGAGCTGTGTTCTGATGTGAACCAGGACAATGCTAAATGGGAAGAGTTAAACAGAAGCACCAATGTGTTACAAGGCACCTGAGTCATGCTTCAGATGACAGAATTTTTCACCACTAAGTTGCCAATTCAAACGAGTAATTCTTTCATGGAAGGGTTAATTAGCTGAGGCAGATCACTGTACCCACACACTTGTAGTATATTGGGAATATATACCCACAATAGCATATTAGGAATAGTATATTCCAACCATCTCTGCTTCCTAGGAAGCATGCTTTCATGTTACCTTACTACACATAGCTGGGGAAGCCGCCTACTACTGTTGTCCGTGATCTGCTTGTTCCATAAATACTGCCGTATCCTCAGCTACAGGGCTGTTTTCCCTTTTGACAGGAACTAAGCTCTCTTCAAAAATGAGTTTGCACATTAAAACAAATTCTGGAAGTGATTTAGTTTGTTCTGGTGAGTTTTGACTGATCCCCGCTATTTTGCTTGTCCACATGGCTGTCAGCTTCCAGGAAAATCTCCTACCTGGACAGGTACATTGTATTTTTTCCTCTTCTGAAAGATCCCAATAGGGTAAACTTCTCTGACATATAAGATAAGATGAACAGCCACTTCCAGAAATTCTGAAAGAACATCTGCAACAACTGAAACACAAAAGTAAAAGATGCTGAAGCAGGGGCAGGGGGAAGCGTGCAGAGCAATACCATATACTCATAGGATTTTTTTTTTTTTTTAAGGTGGTTTTCCCTGCATAAATTTCACCTGCTTCCCCTTAGCTGCAGGAAGTTTAGGGACAGAGCAACCCTCCAACAACAATTCCACAAGCTCATGCGCCAACAAGAAGCCTTGCAAGCGTACCAGTTTGCAGCATAGCACAACACATTACCTTGCCCGAAGTTAAGGTCCTGCCGTGTGAGAGTGGTCATCTT